TTGCACACACCCACACTCAAACTGAAAACAGACATTCAGAGGGCTGGTCTGCTTAGGGCGAGGTCAGGGTTCTTGACCTCTGAGGATCAGTGGAAGAGAAAGAGAGCTGATGGTGGGATACACGCCCTCTGGATAATCATAGCTCTCTGCACATCTTGTTTTTCTTGCTACATCTCTCACTCTGATTGTCAAGCGCAGAACCCTTCTCCTCTGATGCTCTCTTCTACACCTACCAAACAAAAGAATATGTCCAAGAGTACAATTAAATTATCAAAGCTCTCATTTTAGTTGAACCGATTTTATTTTAACCAAAGTTTATTGGTGTGGATAGAAATGTGCATCTTTATCTAAAATATTACTTCTAATTACCAAATTTATCCAATTGGATAATTTTTATTTATTTATTTATTTATTTATTTGCATTTCCTCTTGGCATTTTTAACCTTGGTTCAGCCTAAATACCAGTCCATTTTCTCTAACATTGAGTGGTTAAGCAAAACAGCCATCATAACAGTTTCTATAATAAAATTAATTAATTAAATATCCAAATTTTAGATTTTCATTGCTGGTTTGTCTGACCAATATCCCCTTTGCTCAGTTTAAGTGAAATGTTTAACTTGAATAATTAAACAAATTAATTATGCTGGTTTACTCAACATCTTGACAGCCTTTCTCACAACATAACTGTTGCCATGGAAAATTATATGACAAAAATGTTTTGTTTTTTTTTCTTTTTATTTATTTTTGCCAATTTATCTATCAAGTTATGTTTTCCTTTTCAAGATGTCCTGCTTGATACTATTTGATTTATTTTTGCAATGTATATAGAGCATTTTACTGAACCTCTGGTTGAATGAGTCGAATGAGGACTTTTTTGATCATGATTCATGATCACGTGCTGAATTGTTATGTTGCTGTGATTTGAATGAGGCTGAACAGATGTCTGCCCTCAGACTGTAACAAGCTGTTTCCTAGAAAGCTCTACATCTGTGTGTGTCTGCTTGATGTGATTAAAAAATCTATTTTCACATCCATGAAGGTATTCATAACAAGTTATTAGTCTGTAATTAGCCATGTTCTGCTGTTTTATCTTTTGCTGGAAAACCTTGTTTTTATCTTGCTTTCTTTGAGTTCTGAGTCTTTTCTTTTTTATATTATAGCAGTTGACATTGTTCTATTAATACCCATGCCGATAAAGAAGCTGCTTATTTCAAAGGTTTCTGGGGCTAAGTCAACCCCAACATCTTGTAAGGAACCAGGCTTAACCGATATATTTAGAGGCTGTTCATATGTCTTAAGCTAATGGAATTCTTTTTCTGTTTTTTCATTTATATTATAAACATAGTAACTTAAATTAATAAGATTGTTGTCATAGAAAGAGCAAGACAACAGGGCTAGAAGTTTAGGAGAGTTCAAATCCCTGAGCGTGCATATATTTTTGGAAATTTTATTTTTTATTTTTTGAAGTCTGCATTTGTATGCAGGTTTCTTTTGAAGTTGGCACCTCAGATAGGCCAATTAGCAAAACAATGAGAGAGCCTGAGATAAAGAAAGGAGTAGGAGGAGGTAGGTGGAAAAAAACACGAGTGAGCAGTGGGAAAGACTGGGCTACTGGGAGCATTTGTGATTAATTTGATTTGGGAGAGAAAAGAAAGAAAGGGGCCAGGAGCATATATTATTATTAATCCTCATAATGGGAAGATAATTTTCATATCCCAATTCTCTTTAGTATCTGCCACTCTGCTTCTGTAGTCTCCTGTAGATAGGTGACCTCATTTTTCATTTTGCCAGAGATTCTTTCACCATACCAAGTAGGCATTTTGGAAGCCATTCTGCTATGCACATTTAAGTGTAGGCGTGTGTGTTTGCGTGTATACCTAGATATATACACAGAGAGCATAGAAATGAATTTTTTTTTGTCAGTGAAATGTTTTATGTATACTGCTTATGCTCTCAGGAGAGTGGGTGGTTGAGCTCAGCCACATTTACAAACCAATTATAATAATGATCTCCCTATGTTCTAAAAAAAATCAATTTCCATCTCTGTAGGTATTTGTGTTTGTGAGTGACGGTATTCATGTGTTAGAGTTGCAAAGTTTCTCCTAATTTCTGTGCGTGTGCATGCACTTGTGTGCTTCCTTGACTGGGGCCTCTGTCTAATTTTGGAATAATGACTTTAAGAGATGGAAGATGTAATATATTAGCAATTAAACACCAGGAGAGATGACAAATAGCAGCGCAGATGAGGGGTTGTTTGTTTGTTGGTCCTATGAAAAATTGGCGACTGGTGCAGGGTTTACCACGCCTTTTGTCAAATGTTAATGTTAGCGCCTCTTTCCCCACGACCCTGAGGAGAGTTGTGAGTTTTTTCAATAAGCTTGCAGTCTTGTTTTTGCTTTTGCAGTTAGGGTATTGTTTTTTATGGATTATGTTGTTAGCAATATAATTACAATATTTTTGTCATTTGGCTTAATATTTATATCACACTTCATTATGTATTTTAAAACAGGTATGTTGATATTCTTATTCTTGATTTCTCCCTCCCGGAAATCAACACATCTTGTGTGCTCAGGCAGTGTGCCATGAGAGACGGTCAGGTGTATTGTGGAAAATTGTTGTGAAAAGTATTAAAAAAAAGTAATAATTTACTGCGTATTATTTTTGTCAGTCAATGTGACAGGCAGAACAACGTCGTGGTCTTAGTTATGGTTTTAAAAGAAAATGTTTCATCATACTAATAAATGTCAAGTCAATTAGGTCGTGTTTACACGGCGACTCTGGGACCTATTTACGGTGAGGACGCAGTTCTGTACCCAAATACTATACTCAGATTAAACTTAGATTTGTTAAAAGTTACACACTGAGCAAGCGAGTTCATAAAACTGTTAATCGTGTTTCTAGAAATTTAAGACAACTTAAATGTCCTCACATTTGCATCCAGCTTCTGTATTGCAAGTACACGAAGTGCCTGCATGATTGAGAGTGGAACAGACAAGAGAAGTGTTTGTACATGCCTATGCATTGTGTTGGCTAAGTACCAGCCTTGAAAGGCATGTGTGCATAGTGTTTTATGTTGGCTGTGTACATTTGCACTTGTAGTCCACAGTAGTCAGGCTTGTTCATAAATCATGCAGGGTTTGGGCTGCAGAAGGAGAAGCAGGTTAATGCGTGGGTCACTAATGCTGTCGAACAAGCTGTGGGAAACATTGCCGTGCTGCATGGGATGTAGCCGTTTCTCCACTCACACCACTAATCCCTATTTTGTCTCCACACATTTTTGTTGTCAACAAATGGCTACACGATAGGATGATTTCCTTGGGTCTGCGTGCAGTGATCTGTGTTGA